TTTCTCCTCAGTGTGATAATGTTGTGCACTGAGACACCTGCTGGTCAGTATGTGTACTTACAGCCAGACTCCATGTCAAAGCATGTCTGTAAAATCTGACACTTTAGTTATTGTTTTAAAATATTTTGTTTACATTTGATACATTTAGATTAAAATAAAAAAAGGTAATTGATTCAATTCGAGGTTTTAGATAGGAAATAGGCTACCGGTGTGCACGCAAGGTTGCGATTCAGTGATGTTACATAACATCTCTCTCCTGCAGGCATCGACAAGGAGAACGTTGAGATTTCTCCCACCTCGAGTCTCTCCACCAGTGGGCGAATGCGACACGGGTCAGCCAGCCAGGTACAGAAGCAGCGTAGTGCAGGCAGCTTCAAACGGCCAAGCATCAAAAAGATCGTCTGAGAAGCATTTCTACCTACTCCGCGGCCATCGTTCTTCTCCACGAATCCTTTTTGCTTTCCCTCGTCCGGTTTAACAAGGTTCTTGCATTGAAGAACCGCTTGAGTGTTTGTTTTTTTTTATACCAGTTGAAGCTTGCCACATACTTGCCTAAATGAACTTGTTCGGAGGATGCACTGAACTCTCCGTGTTGCACTCAACATCAAAAATGTCTTGGGACTGACCACATTGAAATGCTAAATTGAGGCGTCCACTCTTCGTTTTGCACAAACTTGAGATCATGTCCTCATCGATGTCTGAAAGAAACGCATACATGAGAAACTGATCTGATTAACCACTACAGCAAACAGTTGACCAACCGTGTGGAGACCCGCAGGCTCATTATCTTGGCTCGACATCCGGCCCTTTTCCATTTAGTCCCGGACCCGCCTTGGGATGGACGTGCGGCCTGACTTGTCCCGATATCCACAGGCTTGAAATCTGGATCGTGATCCAGGTGTATACACAGAAAGATTATATGTGTACTATACTATTGACGATAATAACGATCACATGTTTTGGGTTCTTATTTTATCCATTGTGTGCCTTTGTCAGGGTTTTCAGCTGTGTATAGTTTGTAAAATAGGCAAGACCTTGCTAAGGAAGGGAAAACAGGTACTAATTATGAAAACATGTCGCGGCTTTAACATTTACCATATTGTTCATATGTCGCTACGGTGTAAACAGTGCCATGTGACCATGAAATATGAGAATATCATATTGCGGCATCTAAATATTTATTCTGTAAATGTAGATAATCCTTTCGGAGATCACATGAAGGTTTACGTTGCGATCGTTATATCATCAGTTGTCGAAAACGATTCTAGCAGAGCAACGGATGAGTATGTATCCGTATGTAGTATTTTCCCAAAATGCACAAATCAAACACGACAAATTGGCATTAATATTCATCGTCTCACTGTGGTGCAATATGTTCTTCTTTTTTTTTCTTTTTTGATTCGTTGAACACTATGTGTGTACAAATTGCACATGATTTAAGTGTGTGATCAGGAAATATCCGTGCACACTTTTACCTTCCCCTGTTCCCGTCTCACTAACGGCTCACATACGGCACAGAAATCCCAATCCCGCCACATGCTGACATAGTAACATTGCACCAAAGACTAGTTTGCAATATTGTGAGGGGAAACTGTTGTTAACTCCATTTTGTACATTTTTACGTGTGTCTTGTCTATGTTGTATGCCTTAAAATAATGATTTCTTCCATACGGTTCTCACTAGCTTTGTAACAATGTTTGTTTTCGGCATTTCATTTAATCGTTTTCTAACTTGGCACCTAACCAGTGAATCGCAAAGTTAAACAATTGTGCCATTTTAAGTTTGAATTAAGAAGCAGTTTGCAAGGCCTCACAATTTATGTAACATGGCCGTTAAAATTGAAGTGGACGATTTTTGTGTGCAATATTTGTTTTCTGCATTTTTCAGCCATTATTATGTCGATCTGTAAATCTACAAGGAGGAAATGGCAGTGTACCTTGTGACAAACTCAAAGTACATGTGTTTGCTCTTTGAAATACTTATTAAAGGGAAACTTGTATTACTAAAGAAGGGTACCTGCCAAACGTTTGAGGACGGAATATTTATGCATAATTTTAATTTGATGTTTTTGAAAAGATTGTTTTTGAAATACACGAGTACCAGATGATTCACACTTAAAACTGGGACCAAATCAATGTCATTTTTTCCATTTTATTTGTAGATTTATTTTTACATTTTTGTTTGTTTTACAGCCGTACTCCTGCAGATCCCAAAATTTGCATTCATCCTGACTTTTGGTTATTTTAGGGCACTAAGTGTCAGTGTTTTGTTATGATCAAAAATGAAACTTGAAATGTTTATTCCTGTCGTAATGGTTAATTTCGCATCAATCCATGTCAAATTTACACCTTTTTTTTAATGCAAATTGGAAATATGAAGGAACATAAATTACCCAATTGAGTGTTCGAAGTGTAAGATTTGCCTTTTTTGCGTCCATTACTCCGAATACCAAGAATATAACTCCTTTCTCTTGAATCTTAGATGTTGCATTGCTACTACCAATCTAAAACTGACCTAATCAATACTTTAAGACAATAATGAAGGCACAGTCTTGACTGCCATGGCAGCGGTTAGACACACGGCATGCCCCTAAGCCTTTTAAATTGCATATGTAATTAAACTCATCATAAACAGACTTAAAAAGTGGTTTATTTTATATAATTCATGATGTGTGTTTGATGCATTTGCCAGATTTTTAATTGCATTGGTCATCTGTAAACAATGTATCTGTCACCTGTAAATATGTTTGTGTAAAATTGGAAGGTATATAAATACAAGTGTAAATATATGTGATATTGTATTACTTGCTTTTTTGTAAAGCGGTTAGTTGCTGTACATGTATAACATGGCAATTTAATTATACCAGTGTTCGTAATAAAAGTTTCCCTCAACCCTGTTACTGTGCTGTTCAATGTGAAATCTTTGTTCGTTCTCTCTGGGTTTTATTAAAGGCCAAACAAAAAAATGAAATGCCAAAACTATATACCTGCATCAGATTTTTATCATATTGGAAACCTGAAATCTGTGTGATCACCAAAGGTTTTGGTAATTTGAAGTTTTGGTGGGTTTGTATTGAAAAATGTATCAGAAATCTTAACTATAACCTCACTATAGGGCAATGTAATGAAATCTAAATGCAGAAAATACTCCGTGGCTTAAATTCATTATCTGAAATGATAACAGTTCTACAATCTCTTATTTCTAATGGTAAAGGAGCTACCAGTTTGGTTTTGTAATATTCATATTCATTCTAAATATATATATAACAACCAAAAACATATGTTGTATTTGATTCGAAATAACAGTTAAAACCCAATTTTGTTAATCCAAATAAATGCAAATAGGCTACCTAAGAGACAATTTGGTGGCTCTGAAACATTTGGGAGGACCCAAAACTTCTCACTTTGGAATCTGTTAATTATCAATTGTGAAATAATCTGTATAGATCATTTACAGATGGATTAGGGGAACTGACAAATAACATGGCTAATTATTTTTTCACGTGATTTTTAATATATTTTAAAATACATTTATTTTAGGTACTGTGCAAGTTTAGCATTTCATTTAAGTTTGTCAGTTTTAATCCCCTTTTTGCTTTTTTTCAGGGTTTCTTAAATAGGCTACTCTAGTCTCTCAATTAATGTGAGGTCATAAAAAATGTGTATAATAATTATACAGTAATGTTGTTTAAACGCTTTAAAAAAAAGTTTTCGATTAAATATAGCACACAGTCTGACGGGTCACAAACAGATAACTGATCTTTCAAAATGCCAAACCTCCAATATAGCCTACTGAAGTGTAGTGTAGGCTACCAGACATGCAGGGGCAAAGTTCAAAGTTTAGCAGCTAACTGCATCAAATATGTGCTGCTCTTTTTACTTCAAGTTTGACTTTAACTGAAAACATATTTTGAGTTACGATTACTTGAATCTATTTTGAGTCTGTCTGTCACGTTCACGTCTTATTCCCTATAAATTATAAAAACCAAAAGAATGTCCCCAGTAGCCTCGCGAAGTCCGAGACCACTGTAATCTCGCGACATTTCAATGCATTTACAGTGAGAGCGGACTTATCGCGAGATTTGATCAGCTGATGCGTCTCTGTTTTTAGAGTGTGCGTTCGGACGGTCAACACGTGGGGAGGAGAGACAAGAGACACACACACATACACATACACACACGAAGAGGGGGGACACGTTGGGATTGTGCTGGGCCTTGAATACGTAACATTAATAATATACGGTGGCGGTGCGACGGACGCATAAACAGAGTGAGTATAAATCGCGTGTTCGGGTTTTACTTCATATGTTGATAGGTAAAGCTTATACCGCAAAGAGGGAGCCCATTTTAGCCGCCTCTCTTGATTAGTCCTGCTGTCTGGTGTGCTATGCTAATCATACAAACTGATTTTAACCATCTTACATTCAATCATCTCATCTTGATAAATGATTTCCAGCTTCAATGGCTCGACAGTGTATGTTTGACATTGCGCCAGTGCTATCAGCTATCTAAAACGCTTTAGCTACTGCGGCTAACTGTCGCCAAATCTTGAGTTCAACCCTAATGCATGGGTTAAGTCCTGCACGTCAATTAATTTCGTCTAATTAAGCAATTATTAAACGTCATAATTATCTAGTAGACCAGGTACCATGTCGCAAAGATCAGCTTGACCACCTTTAACTGGTATGACCAGTGACGTTGTCATGTTTTGGAATACAAATGACCTGTATTTTAAAGTTAGTAAGTAGCTGGTTGACTAGGACCAATGTTAGATGTTCCACAAACTATATTGACCATTTTAGTCTAGGTTGACAAGCTGGTTGCTGATTTGTTTCTGTTCCTACCAGCTAGAAACCATGAAAATCTGGATTTTTCCATAGGGAGTTGTAAGTTGGATATTTGTGAGGTCCAATTCATAATGTTACTTGGAGCTGTTGTAATTTTGGTGTGGTCATTCTGCAGAATGACAGCGGAAAACACGCTCTCCTGCTTTGTTCTCTCGCCTTTTGCGCGTTAAAGTCAACTCGCACCTTCATTCAGCTGAATTATGTACCGAGACACATGGACGAGTTGTTTCTGTGAACTCATGGATAATTCAGGTCCTCACTGAAGGAGCACTCGGTGGAGGGTTACCCCGGTGAAATCGTTTTAAAGTCAAGATACTTGAAGCGGTCAGTACTTTAGATTGAATGGTTGCATGGGGTTGTAATTCATTCAGCGGCCTACCACGCGTACTGTAGGTCAACATCACCTCGCTTACTGGTTATGCGGGTTCTCCTTTATTTAATCAACTCGGTTATGTGTATGTTTCATTGCTGTCATAAACCGTTAAAGCTCCTGCTTTTATTTTTCAAATTTCGCCCTTTAGTCCTTATAGCAGCAGCCATGGACCGTTAGCTTGACTGCTAACACACGCAGCATGCATTACAACCTCGCATACATCTGGTTTAACGTGTTGTATTTGTCTCAGCCAATACATGCGCTTTTATGCACAAATATGTCGTGTTATATTATTGACTTTCGCTGCATTGTCAGTGCGGTGAAGCGCGCACGTCACTTTTGTGGCTGTCCTGTGTAATTCTCTGCCAGTGGCCGCTGCGCGTAACGATCACCGCACGCGCTGGAGGGTTCAGAGGTTCGCTTTTGTATTCTGAATGCAGTAGCTCTAGTAAGCCGCTTACTAGCGATCAATGGGTTCGTATGTAACGTGTTGCGCGAATGACTGGCTACGGTGCCCTCTCCGTTATCTCTACACCTCCCCAAGGTCGAACAGCCACCGTGCAGCACGCGCTCGGGTCTTTTTCTATGGTTCGCTCGCGCACGCGCGCAAGGCCATGATATGACAGCGTGCGTTAACTCGGCGAGCGTTTATTTAACCTCATGCTGAAGGTGAACACGGTCTTCCTGAATCAGTTTGTCATTTACTGTGCAGAAACTTCAGCATGTTGCACTATTCGTTTAACGCGGCTGCTTGAAGCTCTCGAGACTGATAGCGCTAACAGACAGTATAGTAGTAATATTATTGCATGCATTGTATGACCAGACCAGCCCTCCATAGCTATTACTGTTTCATTCAGCAGAGAATAGGAATGGAGAGTGGGTCATATGTTATTAATAATATCTGAAATGTAGAATTTTTGGGGGTGAATTGGAAGCTGTTTATGTTGCACTTAAAATAGGTAGGGTACATTTGTTTTCATGTTTCATTAATGAAAAGTTTTTCAATTTCAGAAGATCAAGTTAAATGCTATATGAGCGATTTTCATTTAAGTGGTTTGCAGATTTTGCAATCTTGTCATCGAAATATGTGATATGTAAATGTAGGCTAAGACCCTTTTTTTTTCTTTTTTCTTTTTTACTTTTACAGCAATAATAAATAAATGTAAGAATTGAACATGATGTATGAAATGGGTTGAACAATACAGCAGAATGGGTGTATTTTTTTTTAGCTCGATTAATGCTGTTGCTCTTTAGAGGCTATCTACTTATATATAAATATATTTCAAACTGATTACAATAAATTCCATTTCTTTACATATTCAGAACCAACTTTCTTTTCTTGCAGTGTATTTTGTTCACATGCTACATGCTGTAGTCCTTATTCATTGACAGTCAGAGAGGCAGTTGGCAGGCTGTCTTTTGAAACACTATCTGAAAGCTGAAGAGAAATAGAAACCCCTTTATCTTTGGTTACTATGTACAGGAGTGAATGGGAGGGGTTTGTATATGATGTGTTCCTCCTCTTCTTGAGACTGGGATATGCTGCTCCCATGATGGAAAGGCATGCATGAATGTCCTTTTTTAACTCTGAAAGGATGCTCCTCCCATTCAAGCAGTGAGGTAGACATGGCACGTAGCTCCCAGCACAGCAGCCTCTGAGGTTGAGTGTCAGCCATGTGATATTGTCCCTGAAGTTTCTGCATGGCTGCACAGAAATCTCCCCTCTCCCACTGTAAAGCAGCCTGACCAAAAGTGCTGCAAACAATGCAATATAAAATGCAATCTAAGTTAAGATTTTTTTTATTTATTTTTTTAGATTCCTGTTGATTACTGGCTTACATTATGATTGGATCTGTCTTTTGTGAAAGATGCCGTTTAAAAAAAAAATTTATATAGTTCAATGCAAGATGTTTAATGCCCATGCATCTTGCCTAACTGTGAGTTAGTTGTTTTCTAAATGTTAAACAGACAGTGAACAAGACAAAGGAATGAATGTTGACTAGGGTGCAATTTTCCATGATGAGAGTATGAGTCACCCATTCTTTCACTTCTTCCCAAAGGCAACGCATCCTAACAAGAAATGTATTTTTTTTTTATTACACATCTTTCTTGGATGCTTTCTGGTTGGTCTGTCTGTGGTAAAATGTTTGCTACTGGTTTCCAGCCTCACTAGCTTGTCTCATATCACTCTGCTCTCTTCTTTAAAATAAAATAAAAATTATATCAATACAATTCATAAACTCGTATCAATATTTTATGTCCATTCGTTTAAATATTTAAGTAGCTGTGTCGTTAGTGGGATAATGTACAGTCTTTTGGTTATTTTCAAAATAAATAACTTGGCCTAATTGTGGTCCTTAAGGACTAGCTTTGAATGTGCTAGTATTAAAAATATTGGTTGTGTTGTCTTTATTAGAATGTAAAATTTTGGGGGCATATCTAAATATCCCTGTTTGTTTCTTTGTATTTTTTTTTTTTTTAATTAAACAATAAAATAAAGAAAAAAACTATTTATACTAGAATGGATAACAAGAATACCAATAGGCCAGATCCAACTTCAGTAGTGGTACTAAATTTTGATTTGTAGTTATTATAAATTGTACTTTTATGTTCAAGTAATAAATAATGTAAATAGTATAATATGCATACCGGTATATATTTTTTAAATTGTTTAAAAATGTATATATCTTTTAACTTTTTGAAATAGGATTGAATGGTTCTGCTTGGTGTGTATGTCAAGTTTATGGTCTGTCCATTATAGTGCGACATGTCAGAGCTCTGTAATTTGCTGTTATGTCTTTAACTCAATTTGACAAATTTTTTTACTTTTTTTTTATCTGCAGGTGTAGCTGCTAGGGTCTAGAGGAGATGCCACTGAGGTTCCGGTCCTTTGTTCCGTATACGCTTCCTGGAGTGCTAGCGCTCATAGGCTGGTGGTGGTACATCTCCCGCAAGAAAGAGCGAATCACCAGCCGGGACAGTGAGGAGGGGTCAGTTATGGGCTTGCGGACCTCCTCTGGCGAGGGCAGCAATGGGCTGGTCGACAAGAGCTGCCCCACAGCCAGCAGCACACACCGTAGAACCAGCCGTGACAGAGTCAAGGCCAAAGAGCACAGACCTGTTGAGCAGGAAGTTGTAGCGGAGATTCACACACCAGTGCTAAAAGCCACTGCAGGAGAGGTTCTTGGCGCCCCTCCAGTTGTCTTGGCAAGTGGACAGCTAAGCACTCCTCAGAGCAGTGCAAAATCATTTCCCCCACAAAGCCACCCAGAGACCACCAGGCAGACGACTCCTGTGTCATCTTCAACCCCAACAAAAACAGTGGAGGAGAGCCCTAATCACAAAGAACCAGAGGCCGCCACTGACACCAAACCTTCAAATCAGTTTCCGCCAGATCTAGCAAGTGCTGCTTCAATCAAGAAGCAAGTCGAAAACCAACCACTAATTAGGCAGCGTCCCGCAGAGCTAGCCAAAGCAGAGCGGCCTGAACCTGAGGGAGAGGTGGCCACTGAAACCTCGGCACCGACATGCGCTCAGAATCTGCCAGCTGACATTTCAAAAGATGAGCTGGCCTCCGTTGCGTTGTCAACGGAAGGCGAGGCTGTCTTGCTGGAGACCTGCAGCCCAAAAACACCTCTGACTCTGACCTCGTTCCCCAACTCCACCAGTACACCCCTCTCGGAAAGATCAACTGAGCCCCAGCACCATGAAAACGGAGACCTGGGCCTGCCGGTTGAGACCAGTCCAGACATGCAGGAGCTCCAGCGCCTCGCGGCGGGGCTGATCTCTGAGGTCATCTCAGCAGCCACCCAGGAGGTCATGGCGGTCAGCAGCTGTGAGTCCTGGTACAGCAAGGGCTCTGAAGCTCCTGACAGCAGCACGCCGGCTGTAAATGGTAAGGAAGTAGAGTTGTGTGTACCTCCTGAAAGTACGGAAAGTGAAGAGTCTCGGGCCGCACAGAAAGCGGAAGAGATTGTCAATGGTTGTCTGGCACCTTCGCTCTGGAAGATGCCAGAGAATGAGAAGGAAAAAGGCTTGTTGACTGTGCCGTCTGGGGAACAGTTGGAGTCAACGCCAGTTCTGGCCAAGCTGCAGGCGGAGGAAGCTCTGGTTGAAGACTCGGGATGTAGCACTTGCCAATCCGAGGATGGCGTCAGCAGTGAGGACCTCCATAGCACGGGATTGTCCTCGACAGTTTCTGAAAGCAAGGAGGACCTCATTCAAATTTCAGGGACTTGTAGGGCCTCAGAGGGTCATGGAGATGGACTGCAGGAGAGTCTTGTTCTAATTGCTCCTCAGGAGTCTCCGCTTACTGCAGAAAATGTTGCTACGGTTTGCGAAGCAGCACGGTTGAATGGAACAGGCCTCAGGAATGGCGCCGCTAGCGAGGTAGAAGCTGACCAATCAGGAGGTGAGTTAAAGTTCTTAAGAATTTAAAAGAATGAAAATTCTGTCATTTACTCACCCATCTCGAGTCAATCCGAACCTTTTTCACTTTACTCTGTGGGAGCCAAATAACACAGTGGCTCACCAACTACCCGAATCCATTTTAGGTGCGTCGGATGATAATACACACTTCTCAAGTTTGCATAATCACAAAATTATTTAAATAACCAATGTTAGGTCAATCAACATTCCTCAGGCTTTTTTCTGTGGAACACAATATAATTGGAAAAATATATTTGTCTATTTAATTAAAGTCAGTGGGGTCCATTGTTGTTCTATGAATAAAACAGTTGAAACATTCTTCAAAATATCATGCAATTTGTTTCGCAGGAGAAAAAAAATCAATCAGTTTGGAAATTATATGAGGGAGAGTAAAAGATGACAATTTTTATTTTCGGGTGAACTGTCCCTTTAGTCAAACTGAAATTAAATTCACAATATTGAAGTCCTTTAAAGGAGAACTCCGGCGCAAAATGAACCTTTGGTCTAATAAAACATTGGTACCTAGTCAACCGTTCTCTGAGATTTGTTTTCATGATAATCGAATGTAAAGAGTTTTATCTCTAAAAACAGTTTAGCCTATAACACTAGTAATGGGGGCATTTAATAAGTAAAAAGAAATTGCTAGTTTATACCACTAACAAGGCTCAAAATAGCCCCACACGAACACAGTAACATAATGAGGGTCCCTACATGCAAAACGAAGCATTGAGAACTTTGTAAGTGTACAGACCGTTTAATAAGAAGATAAAGATAAGATAAGTTTGATTAGTCGAGTCTGTTTTCCAAAGATGGCTCCTGTCTGTATACACGAAGTGGACTGTCTTCATCTTTATCTTCTTATTAAACGGTCTGTACACGTATAAAGTTCTCAATGCTTCGTTTTGCATGTAGAGACTCTCATTATGTTACTGTGTTCGTGTGGGGCTATTTTGAGCCTTGTTAGTGGTATAAACTAGCGATTTCTTTTTACTTATTAAATGCCCCCATTACTAGCGTTATACACTAAACAGTTTTTAGAGATAAAACTCTTTACATTCGATTATCATGAAAACAAATCTCAGAGAACGGTTGACTAGGTACCAATGTTTTATTAGACCAAAGGTTCATTTTGCGCCGGAGTTCTCCTTTAATTTCAGTGGTCTCAAAGCATCTCTCAGTATTGCACACTTCACATGAACTCCATCTTGGGAGATTGTTTGATTGTGCTTTACTTAATAGTTTGGGATGTAATACACTTATCATGCATTAATGCAAAGCGATCTGTGTTTGCTTTTTCCCCATGGCTCATGTTGTGTAGTGTCAAACGTTTTTGCTGATGCAAATCTAACTTTCCACAAAGGTTTTGAATTTTCATCAGAAGGAAGGCACAAAGGATTGGAATCATTTACTGACGCCCTCACGGTTTTCAATTGGCTTTGTTTTTGTGTTTAAATCCAAACAGCATCAGTCCTCCTCTTCTTGACATTTGGCCAGATGTAGTAGTGCAAAAAAGCCTAAGTCAAGGGTATCTCACAAACTGTGAATAGACCTCTGGAAATGGGATGCTCAAATTCCCAAACAGTGTATGTTACATGAACACAACCGCATGTGCACAGCTGTTTTTACCACTCCTTACTACAGCAACTTCCTTACATGGATGTCAGCGGTGTCTTGCTTTTTTAACTTCAGAGCAGGTGTTAGAAATCGCCAGTAGTTGTTCTGTTATTAGTTATTCAACGGATGTTTTTACCAGAACGTGGCTATACACCACACTGACCATTTTGCAATGTTTGTATTTGAATGCAGAGAGTGTTTTTCTGTTGATTTGATGACAGGAATCACTTGTATGTGTGGGGTGATTTGCCTGAACCGTTGTGAGGTGTTACTGCCTCACCAGCTGCTGCTGGTGATCCTTCTCCTGCCATATTGTGACCTGAGATTGGTGTGGAGACTGGCAGCACCTAGTGTCTCAGCCCGTCCTCTCTTGAATAAAAGGAGAAAATGTAACAGACCCTTGATGCTTTTTTCCCATTAGTTATTAGTTATTCCCATTAGTTTCCCATGGGAGTAAATGGGCAATTGTTGACGCTGTCGACTGCAAGTAGGAGGAAAAGTGTCATAAGCTTACTGCTTTAATGGTTTCAATCCAGGACAATAGTGGCATGGTTTTCGTCCTGAGTGAAGAGGCTGGTTGTTTTGTTTGTTAATGGTCCTTTTCATCTGTTGTGTTTGTTATTGTTACCCCATGGTTACTTAGCAAACAGTGATGACCTGGCTGGCTAAGCAGGCATTTGCGTTCAGTCTGTTAAAGAATGGTCTGTTTAGACCCCCTGAAAGTCATTGATTTGGGTTGCAGTAATGTTGTCAGGAGAATGTGTGGAACGGATGCCATATTTTTCAAACTATGCTAACAATCGGTTTTACTATATACAGATCATCTTGGAATTAGTTGCAGGTGATTATTGATTTCTTTAAGATGGAAGTTTTTTTTATTTTATGCATTTATTTAAATATTTATTTTCTACATTTTACCTTTAATATTCAGATGCAATACTATATATAATATTTCTATGATATGCAGACCACCCCAGGATTAGTTGCAGGTAATATTGATTGGTTTATTCATTTGGCAGAACTCTTTTTATTTATTTAAATGTATTTTATTAATTATGTCTTTTTTTTTTATGTATCTCTTTATATTTATATATGTGTGTATGTGTATAATATTTTTTTTACCTTTATTTTAACCAATGTGAATCTTAAGGTTTTGCAAATGTTTTTTGAAAATAGTAAATTGACTAAACTTTTACATTTTTCAAACATTTGCTGAAATCAATGAAATGATTCTGTATGTTTATATTTTGACACATTTGACTGACATTTGTCTGTGTGTGTGGGGGGGTTTCATAACAGGTTCAGATGTGAATAGCATGGATTCAGTGGACAGCTGTTCCACCTTGGGGGTGGGAGACGGCCAGCCGAGTGGCAGCCAGACCTGTCAATCACAGAGCTCAGATCTTATTGTGTGGGAGATTGAGGTGCCAAAGGTGTGTTTCCTTTTAAACCCTTATTCTTATTCACATTATTCTACTTCCATCAATCAAAAGTTTTTTCTGAAACTATTTTGGAATGAAGAAAAACTCATTGCATGTTTTCTTACAGGCCTTTATCTAAATGTCAAAGCACAGAGCAACTTTTGTCAACACCACGGCCTGAATGCGTAGCACACGTTAATTAAAGCTAATTAACTTAACTAGTCGATCATTATGTATAAATTCATTAACCTGTCTTGATATCTGTGGTTCTCCTCTGATTTTGTAGCATCTAGTGGGACGGCTAATCGGCAAACAAGGGAGATATGTGAGCTTCCTGAAGCAGAGCTCTGGTGCTAAGATCTACATTTCAACCCTGCCTTACACTCAAGAGTTTCAGATCTGCCATATAGAGGGTAAGTCAGTCTCTCCGAAGGGCCATATTTTTCCAGTTCAGCCATAGCCTCTTTGAATTGTTTTTGTTCTGGTTTGCTTCTTAGGAAGCCAGCAGCAGGTAGATAAGGCGCTGGCCTTGATTGGGAAGAAGTTTAAAGACTTGGACCTGACCAACTTGTACGCCCCACCGCCCCCACCACTAACGCTGCCCTCTCTGCCCATGACTTCCTGGGTAAGATTGGCTCCTTCCCCCCCCCCACTCCTGCAGACTACATGGGCAGCTACCTTTTAAGGCAGCATTCTGACGGTCATGCAGCACTCTAACACTTTCTGTGTAAATTGTACATAGGATTTTTTGTTGTTGCGTAAATTATCACATTAAATTCAATAGGACCGATCCTGTAAGACTGGATTTATGAAAGTTTTCTGGTCATGTTACTTGAATAAAATCGAACTGCAACCAAACAACAAAAAAACATCAGATAATTCCTGGATTTTGACATACTAACATAGTGCTTCAATGGATCTGCCTGGTACAGCTTCTGTTGCCCAGTGGGGTGACAGTGGAGGTGATCGTGGTGAACATTGTATCAGCCGGTCACCTGTTTGTCCAGCAACACACTCACCCTACGTACCACGCACTGCGCAGTCTGGACCAGCAGATGTTTCTGTGCTATTCACAGCCCGGCACTCCCCCATTGCCATCACCTGTTGAAGGTAAAAGGCTCCCCCTTCTCTCTTTTCACATTCCTCATTCTGTAGAGAATTACTCATTTTCTCTCTCATCTCTTTTCCAGTTGGAGTGATTTGTGCGGCCCCTGCTGTTGATGGAGCCTGGTGGCGAGCGCAGGTCATCTCCTTCTACAAAGATTCAACCGAAGTGGAAATTCGATATGTTGATTATGGAGGCTACGACAGAGTCAAAATTGAAACGCTTCGACAGATCAGGTTTAATACAACCCCCCCCCCCCCCTTTTTTTTTTTCTTTTTTTTTTCTTCACCTCTCCCTCTCATCAATGTACTATTAAGTTCTTAAATTGGGCTGTCAATTTAATTGCACCCTTATGTGTGATTTAATCGCACGCTTATCATGAAATTTAAGCACACACCATTTATACATACACCATTTCGTCATCATTTGCTATATCCAGCAAAGTAGAAGGGTGAATTGAAGGGTGATTCTCACAAAACTGTATTTTCTGCAAGCTTTTTTCAAGGTAAATTTAGGTGCCTTTCCAAAAAAGTACACCAAATAACCAAATGATATAAGGAGTCCATATAATTCATAAATGTATGCACACCAAAGCCAAAGCGTTTACAAAAGAAATTTGTACTTTTTTTTTTTTTTTTTTTTTTTTAGAATTCAACAGTGCGACAGCAAAGAGCGTTTACATTTTAGACAAGTCGAGTTGCAACAAGTTACAAAACTGAACAGGACCACAAAAAAAGCCCTAAACCAACCGCCTTGACCTGACTGCCTATACCTACTACAGCACACGGATCCATTCAGAATGTCTAAACACAAGACAAATCAAAACATTATCCTGTACATGAAATGTGTCGTGCATAAATAGCCTACAATGTGCGATCAGTGCACATACATTATTTGTTTGCGCATCGATATAACGGACTCACGTGTGCTTACAGTACGACTCCTGTACGTCTTTACCTTGATTGCAATCCTCATCCATCAAAACTTCACTAGCAAGACATTGGTTTGCCTTTTCCAGCCGAGGAATGTAGTTTGCATATCATCTGGCCATACAGCAGTGGGACGTTCAGTCTGTATTTCACACAGCACGATGCGTGAGGGAAACACACACTGGAATGAATAATTCACTTAAAATGCAATGTGAGTCTCTATTCTCTGTGCCATCTCTGATGTAATCAGCCTGGCCTTCTTTACATTAGCACTGTTTTGGACTGATTGTTTTGAAAGAATTTGCTTTCTGGATCTTTCGACTCGCTAATCTCCAGAATAAGATTTCAATTAAAGATTAGAGATTAAAGTGAAATCAGGTTAAAGTGTTAGAATAGAAATCTCCGCCTATCGGGGTTACATGCATAGATAAATATACATGGATACCACATAATGTTTCAATGGCCCACCATACGTAAGCCGTCTCCCAAATTGGAACTGTCAAAGCCTGTCCGTAAACATTCGAGAGCAAGTTGACTGTGTGTCTGCAACCGTAGTTAGAAGCATGTATGAAAATCTAAATCTGCAATTGCCTTATATTGAGTTAGTTTAGCATAATCATCTGATTAAGTCTAAGGCGTCAGCTAACATGACATTAAAAAGTTGCCATAGTTTAAAAACCTGTATGAAAACACAAACCAACACACTCACCTGTAAAAGGTTATCCCATTTCTTCAGAAATTTAAATCTGTGGTTTTTACAACCAGAAGCTGAGCAATGTTGTGTCATCATTGATTCTTAATGTGAGTGACGACATGCTGAACGTTGCAAGATGGCAGGCGTGCAGACATGTCTGTAGGGGTCCAATGTGGCATCTACGTATACGGCATCTATGGTTACAGGTGTTTGCGCCTTTGTAGATGCTCAGCGGGATAAACTCCTGAACTTTGAAGATCATCTAACTGCGTGACATAAATTAGATTAATGATGCAATTACACATACTTCAGTAATTTATTTGCGTTAAATTATTTTAAAGTGTTAAGGATTTTAATTTAATCGCATGCGTTACTGCATTAACGTTGACAGCCCTATTCTTAAAGTAAACAGCTGTATCGTGCATTGTCCACAACACACAATTTTATACAGAAATAATAATTACATATCAATTTAATATGTATTATATACAAGAACACTGCCGTTTAAGGGTGCTAAGTTTTTTTTATGTTTTGAAATGTCTCAAGGCTGCATTTATATGATCAAAAATACAGTAAAACAGTAATATTTTGAAATATGACAATTAAAGTGACTCATTTGAATACATTTTTAATTTATTCCTGTGATGGCAAAGCTGAATTTTCATCATCAGTGTCACACGATCCTTCAGAATCATTCTAATAAGCTGGTTTGGAATCGTATGTTGAAAACGGTTGTCCTGCTTAATATTTTTGTGGAAACTGATGCATTTTTGCATAATTCTCTGATTAATATAAAGTTCAAAAGAACATAATTTATTTGAAATAAAAAAAAGGTAACATTTATACTGTCACTTTTGTTCAATTTAATGCATCCTTGCTGAATTCGGGTTTTTTTTTTTTTTTTTTTTTTTTTGCTAAGTTTTGAATGGTAGTGTGTTTAGTATTTTAATATAGTATTGATTTTTTATATATATATATATAGTAAAATTTGTCATGAATGTTTAGGCATAAGGTAAAATAATTTGCATGATTTCTATGCAGTCATGATGGCAATAGATGATTTGTCATGATCAACCTCCCACCTTCACATGCTATTCACATCTTTTCAGCAAGTTAGGACCCACCTAACTTTTTCCTTTTCAGATCGGACTTTGTGACATTACCGTTCCAAGGAACAGAAGTGTTATTAGACAACATTGCCCCACTTCCAGGTATGCCTTGTTCTTTTAAATCTTAGAAGTTTAATTTTTCATCAGCTCGTTCCAGCTGGATCTCACTGTTGTTCACGTCTTCATTAGGAGAGGATCGGTTCTCAGCAGAGGCCAATTCTGCGCTGGAGGAGATGACAAGAGGGGTTCCATTGCTGGCACAAGTGAGTCTTTAAATCATTCATTAATGGATGACATTTATGTTGATGCTGTTTACAACCATCAGATAATTTAATGGGCAATTTTCTCATATAGGTCACCAACTACGACAATAACACAGGACTTCCTTTAGTACACATGTGGAACATGGTGGGAGAGGAGGTAAAATTACCATAATATTTTTTAAATTTATTTAATACAATTATTATTAATGGGAAAGGAGGAAAAATTATATTTCTTTTGTTCTCTGGTTGTTTTTTTATTAAAGCCTTTTATTTTTAAAAAAAAATGTTTACTCCGATATAAAATTTTGACATTTACTCATCCTCTTATTTCAAACCGGTATGTCTTAATTTCTTTTTTGCAAGAATGTCACCCTTTTAATAGTTAAACTATAGATTTGACATAGCAAAAGTGCAAAAAATGTGAAATATTGAGAAACTGTACATTCTCAGTTCTGTTTTTCTTGTGCAATCTCACTCATTTTAAAGGGGGGTCTTTCATGCTTCGCATTTGTCTTCGATAATGAGTAGCATGAATAACATGATGATACTTGGTTCCTTTTTTGTAGCTGGTCCTGCTCAACCGCACTTTGGCAGAGCGAAGTTATGGCACCTGGGTGGACAGTTTCTGATCCTCCAGAGATCCCTCGCTCTCCTCTCCTCACTCACCTCATGGCCCACCTGCCCCTTAATTATCATCACTCATCATGAATATCAGCAGGTTCTGTCCTCCTCACCCACCGTGTCCACCACCACCTCCTACATGAAGTGCGCATCACTGGCTCTGGGAGTTTCTTTTTTCGGTTCGCTGTCCCCTCCGTCCTGCCTTTTTCTATTTTCATTTTTTTTCTTTCTATCCCCTTACGTAAGAAATCAATGTACTGTATGAAAGAGAAAAAAACGAAGAGGGAGCTAAGCGTCAATGACTGAACCACCAACAAGGACTGAAGTTTTCTTGACTGTGCTCCTGTACATTTAAATATTGTAACTAAATAAAGGTTAATCATGTTTTCCGTCCGATCAGACTCCTTCCAGCACAAAAAAACAGACTGTGGATTATCATGCCGTGGATGAAAAATCTGTAGTGATAAGAAAAAAGTACATTTGTGAAGATAACTATGGTGCAGTTAAGACTCAGTGTTGTTGCTGCTGATGTAATCCTGAGACTTGAGACATCATGTTTGCATTTACGTTATCACGGCTTTGTCCCAGTTTCACTTCCCAGCCAGGTGGTTCTCCGTGCAGTTCAACAAGGAATAAACGACCACAGCTCCATGTCCTCCATCTCTATGTCTGTCTGTACAACAGTGTGGCCTTAAGAGGGTAATACTCAGCCAATTTCATGACCTCCCTCTTCCCCACACTCTGGATCTGTAGGAATCCAACTGCCTTCGGCGTCAATAGGCCTGACACTAAGCATCACTTCATTTACTTCACTGATTACAGAGTCTGTTAATCCAGGAGACGTCTGTGCCCTCCTGACCTTTGGGCCTTTTTTAGGAAAGACTACACTGAGTTTTCAGCCCTAGAGGGACACTAGAGCTTGAATGGTGCTGCAATAGATGGCAAAAGGGCCTATACGGCTAATTCTTATCTGTGGAGACACTAAAAGAATAACTACACAAACCAGAACACTACTGTGTGATGAGGACAGCAGGGCACTTCCCTTCTGGGTGGATGAATTGCATTCAATGGGTCTGTGTGTTTTTGTATGCATGTAATTCTGCTCCAAAGCACGTCGAGTCACATGTCGCATTATCAGTGTGATGGGCTGCTTGCTTTCGTCTCACTCAAGATCAGTCTCGCAATAACGTCACGTCTATTAGACCCATTGCCATTAATGTCTCTTTGCATTCTGTACATAACATGTTACACGGTGTCCAATCCCAGCAACCCACCCAATTGGCTCCTAGGAGAAGCTGTCGATACACCTACCTGGCTTGGAGTAAAGCTTTAAGCCTTATCCATTGTTCTTTTTTATGTTGGTTTTACATGGGATGAAATTAGGTCTTCTTTATTACTATTTGTTCAAGTATAATGACGCAGAGATTAATATTCCCTTTTTTGTATTTTGTCATTGATCATGCTCTTTCAGTCGTTGAATGGCTTTTTGGCCAAGGCTCGCCCCTTTTTCTGCTGCTGAATTATTGCTAATCTAATGTTGATGGACTTTAGAATGTCAATGGGTGTCCTTGGATGGAACATTTCCAGGCTTTTAGCTTTGTAACGGTTTGTTTTGATTGTTGGCACTGCAGTTGTTAGTTTCTTATGCCCTTGATAAATTTTCCAGTGTCAGAAATAATGATGAAAAAAGCTCCATGTCACTGCATATATCTGGCTTCTCCAGAAAAATCTGGACAAAAACAAATAGTTTTTTACACTTATATTTTGAAACGATAATACACCCTGCTCACTTTAATTTAGCGGTAGTGAGCGCTAAGTAAATGTAAACTGACAGCATCGGAAAGTAACGTCGTCTAAAAGAAAGCAGGTTTCGACGTTTGTGGGGGTATTTACACGGTTTTCCACTATGCTGCGAAATTTTTCTGCAATATTTCCCTCACAAGCTCGTTTCTGTACTCTCTTACGTTCATCTCAGGTATGAGCTTTTCATTTATTACCATTCTGTGTTCGAGGAGAGTAATTAACGTTAGTCCAATTATTTCAAAGTACTTTACCTGAGTGAACGTGCGCCGTCCATTATATGCCTGCACTACAGGTGAATGAATAAGGAACCACACCGACCTCAGAGCCGAAACGTTTCATTGGTCTGTCTTTAGGTCTGTTTGTTTTACAGTTTATGTATTAATCAAGTCCAGTTAACCTCTGCATACGCTCATATCTTTACTGACATGGCTTCCTACCACCAGTTCAAATGTGGACACCTGTATGTTCCTACCCGCTCTCGTGTAATGAAAAATCACGCTACTTTAGACTTGTCCAGGTGTGTGTGTGTAAATATAAGATGTCTCACTGTAAAAACACTTGGAGCGAGTGTAGGAAGCAAAAGGGAACGGGGTTTTTTTCTGTCTCATCCCCACCTTCCAAAATCTAACGTACTCATTTGTTCTCTGTTGGTAGGAATGGTTTGCAATGTTTGCTTAGCTAGATAATTAATCATTTGATTATTTAAATGAGTGTAAGAAATTCTGCATAGACATGTACAGGTCAGTTTTTGCCAGACTCGCTACAAGGTTTGATTCTTTGGTTGTACAGATCTATTGAAAAAAAGAGAATAAAGTTATTAAAAATATTTCCTATATTTTACATGTTGTATTTTAGTTATGAAATCAGTGCGACTTGGCTTGTAATACACTCTACCAAACAAACCAAATGTTTAAAGTCAGTCAGCATATTAGAAGGATTTTTGAAGGATCATATGACAATGAAAAACTGGAGTAATGATGCTGAAGATTCAGTTTGCCACCACTGGAACTTCATTAGAAGTAGTTCTTTTTCTTAACCTGTAGAGCGAGTTAAATACCATGTTATGGTCATGCTTCTCTCGAGGCTGAGTTCATGCATTTCAGCTGTAATCCCAACAATGACATTTCCAAGAACAAGGATATTCTCTCAGACAGTGTAAACACTTCTAAATGAGACCTCTTTTATCCATCCTTCAGCAGCATTAGTTGATGAATCGTCTCTTCCATTTGCTACACTGCTAAAGTGGAGAGAGTCCTTTAGTTACCAATTCATGACTTTAAGAGAGGGAGGTCTTTTGCTTGAATTTGTCTTTTTTCTTTTTTTTAAACGAGTTTGTACTGCGGGCCACCTTTGCACTCTGCTGCGGCTGAGAGGGACAAAAAGTGAGCTTTTGTTCAGATTTTTTTTTCTTTTTTTTTTTTTCATTATGTATAAAATGCCCCTGGCAAATCCCTGATGATTTCAGAGGGTTTTCAAATTAACTTTTACAAGTCTGTTCACTAATTAGAATGACTTTAATTGTATGTGTATGACGTTTTGAGAGGCTTCAGGTTAGTGCTGTTGTGTGCTACAAAATCACAAATCCTTGTTGCTGTTGATTTAATTTATTGGTTGATTTATGAGTTTAATTATTTGGTTATAAAGTGACATGAATGTATCCATCAGCAGCATTATATTGTGAATGTTCTATGATCTGTAGGTGACACCACATCTCAGGTTTTGGCAAATCAGGTCTTGGCAAATCATAACTCTTCCTGCAAGTCCAAAAAAACAGTAGAAATAGAAACACGTGCCTCATCAGCAGGCAACTGGCTTGTTTGGGGTTTAAACTCTAGAAGTCCCAGAGTTATCACTTATTTAACTAACTTATGACTTACTGATGGCTGTTTAGCCATTTAAAGACATCATAAAATTGGCAGATGATGCCATAATAAATTATCTAATGAGAAACAATGTAATGAATCCGGCAGTAAGGTGCCAAAATGGCAATTCTGGTATAATAGGCTGACAAAATTTTCTCTAGTTTTCTCTTTCTGTACATTTCAGTCAGACTTTAGATCTTTTCATGTTTTTTTATTTTGAATTGCACATTCAATGATTCAAAGTCAAGACAGAAACCATCATATATGATCAGTCAGGTTCTAACTACTCGGGTAGGCTACTATCTGCTGGATCGTATTAGCACCTGTAGAATTTCCTTTTGTTGAAAGCCCAGATAAAAGTAAAAAGCTACTATTTTGATTAGATCCATGTCCGAGGCAGTTCGACTTCACGAACGCATTTCTTTACACACACACACACACAAAGAACTTCTACGGAAGTCTGTATTCTCTTGAATTTTACTCTATTCTCAAAATATTACTTTATTCTCGAAATGCTATAAAAAAAATTGTACTTTTTATTTTATTTTATTTTTTTACTTTGCGGTTCAGGGCTTCCGTAGTTTTGATTTCAGTTTCATATTTAAAAGTAGACCTATCATTTTATTTTCCCATCAAATTTCCATATTTAAAAAGTTATTTTTCAAACATTATTTATGCAGGTGTAATTGTACCAATTCAGATGCAACTTCTGTGCCACCTCTGCAACACAAAGATGAATTTTCATTGTTAGTGATTTGATTGGTAACAGCTCTATAGTGTCTTATTGTTCTAATTGTATTTATTGATTAAATAAGACATTTCCACAAAGACACAAAGTCTTGGTCTTGTCTTGGTCTCAACACACTCTGGTCTTGGTCTCGACTTAGGTGGTCTTGACTACAACACTAGTAATTTGAAGTAGAAACAGGGGGAGTGACTTTATTGCATCGGACATGTGTCACTTTGCTCACAGCTGATTGGTTAAATTTTGGTTTGAGATACCTGGAACAGGCTGTGTCCCAGTTTAAAGACTGCATCCTTCGAAGGGCACGAAGGTCGAACAGAGCGTTGTTAAATGGGACGGTAGCCTACGGAGTACTGTTCGTGACGCCTAGCAACTGTGACAGCTGCAGTTGATGGGCGGCAGTAACGTTTGTACTGGACTTTTTAAGTTATATTCAATTTCCTGAAAACAAAACAGGTCTGTCTAAACTGTCTAAATATATTCACCATGGTCCATTTCTGTATAATAAAGAATATCATAAACTATATATAATCGCATCTTAGTAAGACGTCAACATTTGAACCGCTTTAAACTTTTTTGTCAATTATTTTTACATTTGTATCATTACATATTTGAGTAAGTTGAAACCCAAACTTGCATTTGAAGGTGTAAATTGGCAATTTCTCTCAATAAAATCCTGTCATCTCTGGGCTGCAATTAACTCTGGGGTACGCAAAGGGTCCAACTGTTCTATCCTTCATTTCACGGAAAACGAAGCATTTGGAGGCCGCATTTGAAAGAGCCTTCGAATTGGCACAGCCTTCGTCACGCCACGGTCATTTACTTTTAAACTATTAAAGTTACTATATAAGTGCCTATTGTAATGAACAATGTCGATACTAAAAGCCGAGCTGCTTTCATGGTGCCTAAAACCCAGAGTTGGCGTAAACTAAACTGAAACATTCGTGGCTAGCCACCCAAACCAGGTTCTTGGTATAGGCTCCTAGTTGACCAACTGATAACCAGCTAGAAACCAGCTGCCTTGTTTTAAAACACAGCTACCAGAGGTTAAGCAGGCTGATATGAACAAAATTCTGTTGATC